ACGTTCAATAGACAAGAAAAAAGAAGCAAAATCAACACAACAGTTATAAACATCTTCATCTAAAAAGTGTAAAATCTGTGGATCGCATTTGAAAGCGATGAGTCATACAAAGTAATCTTTGGCAAAACTACCACGAGAGATACACAAAGTGCACAAACATAAAGTATAAATGACATGCAAAACATGTAAACTAAAAAATCAGTCAAAGAGCATTGTTTGAAACCAATTTTTGGTGAGTGTCACAATATCAATTTTATTTCTAACCACATTAATGTTCTTTTAACTGAGTATTTTTTCATCAATTTGATAAAGTTAATAAAGAATATATAAAATTTTAAGGTTAAGTAAAGGGCGAATGCGACAAGGCCGTAGCCAAGCACATTCTTGTCTAGTCGTGTCTTTGGCAAGCCTCAACACAACTAGACCCCAGCGCAAAAATTGTTTAATATTTGCACCTCCGTAGAGGTGAGCAAGATATTAAGCTTGCTAGAACAGATACTACACTTGATCAAAGCCATAAAGGCCGAGAAGGATTGAATGAAATTCACCGTTCTTTATATACACGCTGTGACGTGGCAGGTTTAATTATTTATAATTTCTTATTATTATGTATAGTTCACTAAAACTCAATGACTGAATTATACTTGATAGATTAAAAACCATTTATAAAAAAATAGTTTATTTTTTTAGGGTTTTCGTTTATTAATAAATTAATTAAAACACTTTAACATATTTAAATAGTTTATTTATTATATATATTTGGTTTTTTCATATTAATATATTATATAAGAAAGTATAAACTCATGTATAATTCTAAATTTGGATTAAACAAAACTCTAAAATGTAAAGCTTTCTTTTTAATAATAGAAAACAATTATTAATTAATAATAAAAATATAGTAAAACCAACAATATCACAACGACAAAACGAGATTTAACGGACTTTATTAGAGCAGATTACAATTTTACTTGTTTTACTTAGAAAAAAGAAACTTGAAAAGAGAAATGGCGGAATATCAACAACCTGTTTGTCGGAAATAACAAGTAAATGTCCACACAATGACGTATAGAACACAATGAAGTTAGTTGTCGTTGGAGACGGTGCAGTTGGAAAAACGTGTTTACTCACTCGTTATCGTACAAACACTTTCCCAACAGACTATGTCCCCACTGTGTTTGACAACTTTGTTGAAGAAGTCCCTTATCAGAAGTCTGTTATTAACTTACAAATGGTTTGTATATCAATCAATTACGTTATGGTTTAACTCTAATAATACTCTAGTATATTTTTACTATAATTATACTATATTTTATTTATAGTTATATAGTATAACTATTATAGTAAATATTTGTAATATAATAAACTATTCAATTATTAATCACTAGTGGGACACCGCTGGTCAAGAAGATTTCGACCGTATTAGAAACAGAGCATACCCAGACACTGACATTTTCTTGTTGTGTTTTTCGATTGATGATACAAACTCGTATGAAAACATTGAAGCTAAAGTTTGTGAGTGAAGACTCTTTATTATTTTAAGTCACACATATGACATACAGTGGGTCCCTGAAGTTCAACATTTCTGTCAAGACGTGAAACTACTTCTTGTTGGGACAAAGAACGACTGCAGAAAAGACAAAGGAGCAGACACAATTACAACGGCACAGGGAGAGGAGCTTAAAGTAAAAATTAAAGCAAACGCGTATGTCGAGTGTTCAGCAAAAACGGGGTCCGGTGTAAAAGATGTGTTTAAAACAGCAATGGACCTCGTCAAGGGAAGAGCTGACGAGAAGAAAGCAAACGAGAAATGTGTTGTTGTCTAACTCATATTTTAACAGGTTTCTTGGTTATATATATTGTATTATTTCATATAATATAATTTTAATAAGTTATATTTCAATAAAATAAGACTTTTTAATTTTTTTTGTTATAATGTATAATACACTATATCAATAAAGACATTTATCATTCCGTTGGTTTAATATACTATAATTTACTATATTTTTTACACAAAAGTAATTTATTAGTTTTGATTTAATCAATAAACAAAAGTTAATTAATATATCATACTTTTATTATAAAATATTTATAGTAATAATTAATAATTTTTAGTAACAAAAAATGTTGAACTGAAAATACAATAAAACATCAAAATTGTGTTATTGAGGTATAATTATAGAATTTAGTTTCTTAAATTATTAGATTATTTATAGTTTCATTAATCAGAGAATTCAAAACAACAAAAAACAATAATGTTATGATAAAAACACCTTTTTTAATCGATAATCCTTTATGTTTAGAAAAACTATATTTAAATAGTAAAATATATTACTAATAAAACACAATTATAAAAATAAAAATACAAAAGTGTCGAAAGTTCTAAAGATTAATTCACAACACATATTTTTTAATACTTAAAACAAAACCAATTATTTACTAATAAAAATACTATAAAACACAAAGAAATCAAAAAGTCCTAAAAGTGTAAATCTATATATATATTAACTTAAATTAATGATATAACTTTTAAACTTTA